TGCACTATTCACAAATAAATTGTTCTGTTGAATTTTTTATATAAATACTGTTATGATTAGTTAACCTTATTTAAAACAGACAGCTTCTACAGAGAACTGTGGTTCTGAATAATCTTCTCACCCCTCTTTAAACAGACATTATTGGTGATTGATTTTATATTTTAATTACCTTTCTTTCTATCCCTTTCATATTTTTAATGATGGTACTGTTTTCTTGCATTATGGTAGGTTTTTACACTTTTATAATTATTCAGAATATTTAGATGTGTATTTGGTCTGGATTAGCACATCATGTAAGTGCTTTTAGTTTATAATATATTAAAAGAATATGTTGCAATAACAAAGGAGAGCATTCAAAGGCTAGGTATTGAGTACCGTGTATTATACATCTATGATTAAATTTTCAGTTTACTTAGTACTGTAAGTACATACCTGGTTAGAGTGCAAAGGCTATGATTCAACAGACCTAGATGTATGCATCTGTGATAGCCACTTATAGTCTCTCTTTGTGGTCATGGAAGCATTGTATTTAAGGCAAGCTTAATCTAGAATAAGTATTTGAAGTTGATTATAGGTTGACTTGATGGTAATGTATATATAGTACAGTGAGAGGACCTGAATTCTTCTTAAGCTTTGTAGTTAGCTCTCAAGGAAATTAAATTAAAATCCTCATTATAATTTCCACAACATAGACCCATCTATCTGAGGTACCTGTGTAAGAAACTTAGTTTTCCTATGTGCTCAATACGAGGGTCTTCCAAATGACAAGTTAACCCACTTAAGATCTGTCTGTCTATTGATTACATAGGAGACTAAGGTGGTAATATTTGTAATTTGTGTAACTTTTAAGTAAGCTTTAAGTAAGTTCCTAAGGGTAGGTGGGGTGAATTTGTGCTTGTCTGATGTGACTGTGTGCCCTCTCTCAACTCAAGAATTATTTTGTCTTCTTAAATACACATTCCTAATCATATTTCCTTTGTCATCTGAATGAAGGTCTCCCTATAGGTACTCATCCAGTCTGTGTTTTCATTCCTGTCCTGTTGCATTATAGAGCCATTTCTGTTTCTCATAAGGCTCTCAGGAATGTATTCCTGATACTCCTCTTTCTTTTAAATCCAGTTTTCCTTCATTCAACTCCAAACTTGTTTCTCTTACCTGGAGGTGAAAACAGTTATGTGGAGCAACCACAAACATACCACCATACCTCGGACACTTCTGTGATACACCTGGTAATTCTTATAGGGATATATATCCCACTCATGGTTTTATTTAGGTCCTTCCCAATCTTAAAACATTCTTTGTCCTGACCCATGCATGTGACTCTCTTGTTTTTACAGGACATAAACTGAAACAAGAAAGGTACAGATTGTGTATTAAGGGAAACCTTTTCAGCACTACGGCAGTAAAGCAGTGGAACAGGTCATCCAGGGAGGTTGTTCAGTCTCCGGACTTTAGACTTTTCCAAGACCAGGACAGATAAAGTCCTGAGCAACCTGATCTGATCACAGAACTCATCATACTTCAAGCAGGAGGTTAGACCCTCTCCTGGGGTTCTTTCCAATCTGAATTGTTTTATGATCCTATTAAAAAAAAAAAAATCCTCTTTCATTTGCATAGCATTCAGAAAGAGACTGATTTGAGAGTACTGAGTAAACATTTTCTCAGGCTTTAGCTGACTTGAAGTAGCACAGACTGGCCAATACAATACTGGGTTTTGTGAGAATTAAATACTTACTCCATTCAAGTTCTAAAATCAAACTTGTAACCATAGATAAGCATTAATATGAATTACTATTTTACAATCTCTAATTCTTCCCTAAATTTGAACTGATTTCATGGATGTAAAAAATGGTGCACAAAAAAAGTGTCCATCGAAGTTTCAGTCCCTTAGCAAAAGTTTGGGGTGCTGAAGCAGTTTAAAGGGGAGGTGAATCTGAGTATTTTGACACAAATCAAATGTATTTTCATCTATTTCTTGAAGGTGAATGACTGCTCTAGGCTACAATTTGCAAAAAATACTTGGGCTGAAGGAGCCACCAGTACACAGAGTTTCAGCCTAACCCATTAAAGAAAAAAAAATTACAGTGAATTGGAAATAGTTTGCTGTCATGGAAACTTTAGTAGTAAATTATGCTACCGTCATACCTGCTATACCTAAGAGAAGAAATGGAATTAACTGGAGGATGTTAAAGAGTTTTCTTGGACATTTGATGAAGATCACAGCATGTGATCAAGAGTTAAAACTTGATTTCTTTTGATTCAGTACTTTTACTTTAAGTGTGTCATTTTGAGAATGATATCCCAATATTTTTTAACTACTTTGATAAAATATACAAAGCAGAAATAGATATAGGTGCAGTGAAGAAAAAGATTAAAATAAAGGTTCGATAGTATATTTCCTATTTAAATTATATTGACAAATTCTGCAATTAGATAACTAGAAAGAGACAGCTAACCCCCATACACTATAGTTAGAAAAATATTTTAATTACTTGATCTTGCAGTCACTATTTTGCAAATTCATTTCAGCGATCTGGAGATACGTGTTTATACCTCTAAAGGCACTTAAAAAAATGAATATCAGAGTTAATATTTTCAATTTCCCGTATTGAAAAAGCAATCATATAAACTTTTGTGAGCTTTATAGCATGCATTATATGCAAGTTTATATGAAGTATTGCACACTGAATTACCAGTAAAAGTATATTTGATATAAATGTTTTATTGCTTAGCAAATGATGGCAGGCAACTATCCAAAAATAAGAGTCAAAGCTAAAGCTAAAAGATTGGTATCTGGAAGGCACAAATATGTGCTTATTATCTGTATTGCTTGTCAGAACATTTGCATATGTGCAGAATGAAAACGAGGAAGAATAACTAATGATAAAGATACTATGATCAAAACATTAATCAGAGAAAATAACTTTTTTTTTTAAATTAAACAAGAATCTTTTTTGATATACACAATAGCTGGAGCACACAAAGTATTATTAAAATTTAATATTAAGTTATGAGAATGAGAGGATGAAATGTTATTTTACATAACAGAAGCTATGAAGAGCAGTAGCTCACATTTTCTTTTAGCTGTCAGAATACTTGCCAGAAGCCCATTTAAGCCTTTGCATCCACTGCTGTTTTCAATCCCAGATGAGATCTGGCTTTCCTCACTCGACCCTAACACAACTGAGCAATGCCTTTATATCCCTGCTGACTACTGCATCCCTGCTCCCATCTTCTGTGGGAGACCTCATAGCTGTCTACAGGTTCCTTAGAAGAGAAAATGGAGGGGCAGGCACTGATCTCTTCTCTCTAGTGGCCAGTGACAGGACCCAAGGGAATGGCATTAAACTGAGTCAGTGGAGATTCAGGTGGGATATTAGGAAAAGGTTCTTCATGCGAAGTGTGAGTGCACACTGGAACAGGCTCACCAGGGAAGTGGTCACAGCACCAAGCCTGACAGAGTTCAAGAAATGTTTGGACAGAGTTCTCAAGCACACAGTGTGATTCTTGTGGCTATCCTATGCGAGGTCAGGAGCTGAACTTCAATGATCCTAATGGTCCCTTCCAACTCAGGATATTCTATGATTTGAGATCAGAAACTTCTTTTACATCCATGTTGATTTTCTGCCATGATTGCTTATCATGCTTGTTTCCCGTGCATCAGAATGGACTGTTCTTGTGCTTTGAGGAAATTTTTCTTGACAGTTTCTTGAAACTCTTCTGGCCCTCCTTTGCCCTCCAAAACATTTACCAACTGGGTCCTGCTAAAAAGGTCTCTGACTAAGCTAAAATCTTCTTTTCTGAGATCTGGGGTTGTGATTCTACTACTGGCCTTGCTATCTTCTCTCAGGATTTTGAAGTCCACAATCTCATAGTAAGTGCTTATTATAGATGTTAAAACGATGGGTTTACCATCATTTTGTAGTGCTTCATAGTTCCTATCAAAACTGATTAATAAGAAGCTGCTGTTTGCTTCAGTGAAAGAAAATGAAAAACAAAAGAAAACACTTCATCATTGCACATCTTCCAAGAACAGAAAATAAGCCAAAACCCAGCAGAAACAACTTGACTTTCTCTTTCATTCTATGTAACAATTAAATAGTCCAGTCCTTAATACATTTTTTACTATCAAACTTCATTCTTTATTGTCAAGCAAAAGAGGAGAGAATAAGTTGTTTTGCAACATGTCTTTCAAAAAATACACTGTGAAAAGTAACTAAAATTTAGCTAATATGCCTTAAAATACCAGGGGATTTATATGCAGTTTAAGGGACCGACATCAATATCACTGAAGAATTTTAATTTTAGTGTTCTTTCTTTACAAGTGTATACATATATTTTATCAGTTTATGTGTGGACTTACTAGGGTTGCTAACAGTGAAACACAGCTGGACTTAAAGAACTGGAAGCTCCCCTTCTTTCTGGAAGTTTTGCAGTTATTCTTTTAATTGCTTGCTTGCTTTCTTTCTTTAATAAGTATGCATTTAAGTAGTTTGAGTTAGCATGAATATCTAAATAAAAGATCCAGGTCAGATCAGGATGAATTGACTATAATTATCCTGAGTTTTGATGCCTGATAGTTACTGTATGTATTTAGTAACATATTCTGTTTTTTTATTTCCTTTAAATTTTTAATTACAGGTGGAGCCTAGTTTAAGGCAGAGCTTGAGTTTTTACTCTAAATTTTGTGGAAAAGAGGCTAATTAATGAATTATACACCTCATTAGTTTTTAAATTATAGTTGAACAAAGTCAATTACTGCAATAGGAAAAATATGGATTTTTTTTGTTTGTGGCTTAATATGAATGAGGCTCAAGTGTGTTCTCTGCTTTAATATAGGTATTGTTTATGTTTTGATCAGACCACGATCAGTAATTAAGTATGCAGGAAAGTATAGTTCAAAGATAAATTGGAGAGTATTTGCTATTGTATCACATTTTTGTACTGAAAGAAGTTTGTTTATCCTTCTTCAAGATTGCATTTGTACTCTCATCACTCAGGTAATTTCACAGCTTCGGATCCTGAGCAGGTCAGTAACTGCTGGCTCCAAATTTGACAGAGAAATATGGTCTACAGAACTTTCTCCTATTCTCAACCTATGGAAGAAACTTAATCAGGTAGGAATGTACCTGATTTGAAATGACAACTTATTCTTCTTTTTTTCCTGGTAACTACATAAAAAGTAAAGTCTAAGGAATTATCTCAAATATTGAAACACTAGAAGTGAAAAAGTAAATTAAATGCATTTGCAGGGGAAAATACATTAGGTGTTTGTAATTAGCTATGAAGTCTGTACGTGATGTAACAGGCTATCACTTTTTTCTCCATATGAAGGTGAGACCATACTCAAGACATGAGACTAACATCTTGTATGTGTTTCCAAGAAAAATACTAATGTATTTCAGATTTTAATTTATTCTTTTCATTTCTCTAATATACACAAGACAATGTTTAATGATTTTAAATATAAATGAAGTTTTTCCTGTATAGTCTTGAAATATAGTATTAGCTTTAAACTGAGGTTCATTAAAATCCCTTCTACATAGATCACAGACATCGTGGCCTAAAACTATGTAATAAGAAAAACCTTTCCCTTACTCAAATAATCGCATACAAAGAAGTGGCATGAGGTACACATTAGAATTTACCATTACATTGTGAAATATCNATAAATGAAGTTTTTCCTGTATAGTCTTGAAATATGGTATTAACTTTAAACTGAGGTTCATTAAAATCCCTTCTACATAGATCACAGACCTTGTACACAACAACACTGTAATAAGAAAAACCTTTCCCTTACTCAAATAATCGCATACAAAGAAGTGGCATGAGGTACACATTAGAATTTACCATTACATTGTGAAATATCTCATTAAATTCTTATTTAATCCATTCTAAGTGTATGATACATCATGTTTTTGTCAAAATAGTCCTTTGGTACTAAATAAGTTCATGTTGAAATCTGTGGCCTCTGAACATGGGCTGCTGTTAACTGGGTCTGTGATCCTGTAAGAAAAAGGATATTTCAATGTGACACCTTTCATGATCTCTTACTAACTAAACATACTTTTAGGTTTGCAAATCTTCTTTGCAAAAGCTCAGATGAAACTATTGCATATATGTATGTATACACCATCAGAAAATTAGAGATTTTGGTTGTAGTGTTTGGAAAACTGATAAATGAAGCCAGTTTTAAACAGCAAAATAAATCGCGCTACATTAATATCCATTATCAGCACACATTGCTAGTGGCTAGTTCTTTATAATTGTTAATCATTATCAGTGCAAATTCAAAGTACTTATTCCTTAAAACTTGAGTCATAAGTTAGCTGTGAGTATGCAGTACCATGAAGCTGAAGCCACATAGTTGGTGCTTCTGGCTGGTCCTTGGTAGTCTTAGTCACCCATGTGGAGGTAATCAGTTGCCCAAAAGCTCTTTGACAAGGGAAGCTGGACCTGACAAAGGCCTCCTCTTTCACCCCAAACATTACCCTCAAATCTGAGATCTCTCATGATTTTGTAATACTTTACCTCAGTTCCTGACCTACAGACTGAATGACACTTAGATAGGGTTATTTTTCAGGCTGTAGCAGGTAACTTTATTCTGTCAGTTATCTGCTTTGCTTTGTTGTGTAATTGCTTCTTGTCTAAAAGCAACAGTAGTCTTGCCAGTTCTTAATTTTGCCCTTTCTCAATGATGAGTATGTGACCATCAGCTGTTGTTCATAGTTCTTGGGCCTCTCTTTTCAACCTATGCCCATACTTTCAAGACCTTTGCTATCCCGTGCTAAAACTTCACATTATAACAGCAAACACCTGGTACTGAATTCTACTTCAAACAGCAAGCTCTCCTAACAACTTAATAACATGTCTAGAAGGTCAGTACTGGAGCCTTGCGCGGTAAGTGTAAGACCTAGTTAGCATGACCTATTCCTAGCAAAAGCAATTTGGTTTTTTTACAGAATCATTGGGTACAAAAATTTTGTATATTGTTTCCTAGGCCCCTCTCCTGTGAAGACAAACTGAGAGATTTGGGGTTGTTAGCCTGGAGAAGCGAAGGCTTTGGGGAGACCTTATAGTGCCTTCCAGTACGAGAGCTGGAGAGGGACATTTTACAAGGACATGTAGTGACAGGAGATAATGCTGGGGCCTGAAGAACCGGCCCTGAGCCGAAGTTGGCCTATAAGCTGAACTCTCCATCCTAGTATTGTATTTAGACATATATCTGCTTATTAACCAAGATGCTATATAATCCTTAATAATGCTTTAAGAATATGCATTTGCGCTTGCTAACACAGTATATTATTAATAATTAGTAAGGCTTGAATGTGTTATAAATACGCCTTTTCTTTCCAGCCATGACCATGAAAAACCATAGGTCTCACGTAGTCACAGGTGGTTCATATTTGAGATATTAATGTAGCCATAAGTTCTGTGTTTAGTGACTAGTCAAGGCCATAGAGCATTTGATAGTAGATGGTCCAAATCGACTCCCTCGGTCTCCCTTTGGGCCTTGGCCAGGCCTAAGGGGCATACCAGTGGAGGAAGAAAGCCAGATAGTTTTGCCACACCGATTGAGTAATGTAAGCTGGTTTGTTTAACATTGTATAAGCTGGATCCTCTCACAATGAAGATGGAGGCCTCACTGCGTAGGATTTCCCATTTACTGGGAAGAGGTTTTCCAGACCTTAGCTGTGATGGGGGACTTTCCAGCCAAAGTGCAGTCTGGATGATGATGATGATGGTAATATATTTAGGGTAACTGGTGATGTATCTGTCTCTTAATCACTATAAGACTTTTTTTGTAGTAATGATTAGATGCGTTGCTAAGTGTATCCTTTCATAAGCCACTGCTTCTTTTGTAATTCTTTACTGTCTTGCACTATAGTAAACTTATACACTTATTCTTTAAAGTTGGTGTCTGTGTTCCTTAAATCCATCCTCGTTACTGGGGGAGGGAGGCAAAACAGATTGGCAAAACACAGGGCAAGGGGGAATGGCTTCAAACTGAAACAAAGTAGGTTTAGATTGAATATTAGGAAGAAAGATTTTACTGTGAGGGTGGTAAGACTAGCACAGGTTGCCCAGAGAAGTTGTGGGTGCTCCATCCCTGGAAGTGTTCAAGGTCAGGTTGAATGGGGCTTTGAGCAACCTGGTCTAGTGGAAGGTGTCCCTGCCTGTGTCACGGGGGTTGGAACTTGATCTTTAAGGTCCCTTCCAACCCAAAACATTCCATGATTCTGTATTATCTTGAAGTTTCTTTGATTTCTGAATATTTTCATGCTATTAGGAGGTAATGAATCTAATCTTTTAAAGATCTTTTTAGAATAGGAGAGTTTCTGACCTTGTGTAGGGTTTTTTTGGGGAGGACATTTGCTTGAGTGTTTAAAAAAATTTAAATAACAATGTTCTTTATTAAAATTAGTTTTCATAGTCTGTTCAACCAGTAATTGCTTTAAGCTTTGAAAAGGTCTAGGCAACTTTAATATTTCCACAGACATTGTGTACTGTTCTAAATTCTCATTCTACACTGATTTCTTAATGAAGGCACCATGTTTGTTTTCAGAAGTTTTAAAGACCTGGAAATTGGAATGAAGAAAATAGTCAAATTGCTGCTTAAGTTAACAACCATAAATTATATTATTTATGCATGAATGGGCACAGAGAATGAGCTAAAATTATTTCCCAGGTATGAAGAAGTAGAATCACAAAAGCTATTCTAGAAGTGTGTAAAAAATTTTTTTCCCTTCAATTTTGGAAGCATTTGCATTTAGCTCCAACAGGTCCATGTCTATGTTCTGCTAAAGACTCAAGAGGGGAATGCTGCATTCCAGGCAGGGTCTCATGAAACTGGAGTAGAGGGTACTCCTAATTCTTTCGTCCTCCAGCCTATATTGAAACTGGGGATTGCCCTGACCCAGATGCAGGACCTTGCCTTTTGGCCTCATGAGGTATAATAATACTACTACTAATAATGATAATACTACTAGTACTACTAATAATATCATCATCATCATCCTTTTTATCTGTTGGATACAGATAGTAGTAAAATAGAGGTGGATGGGATAGATGGTGACAATACCTTCAGTTTTATATACAAGAAGCAAATATTAGTTTTCTACCTGTCAAACGTACTTATCCCCAAGGGTAGTTGGAAATAATGGTAAAATATCTGTTTCGTACTACTAAAACTTGGCAAGTGTCCAGTATAGGTCTGAATTGAATCTAGCTAATCTATTTATAGATTCAAAGCTCTTTTTAAAAATCATCTACTTTTTATTCCAGAAGCAAAAAAACTTGTTAATATGTAGACAAAGATTAAGTATGTTTTTAAACGTTTTTGTTCCCATACTGAGTATGTAAATCAAGGATTAATTCAAAAAGGATTATCCTGCAAATACTTTGAAAATAGTTGTTGTACACCTCTGTGCTGATAGTTCTGAAGCATAACAAAATTTACACTTGGCATAGACATGTCCTATAGAATGTACACTGGAATGATTTATCATAATCTGTGGACATATTTTTATCTGTGCACTGTCAATGAAACTCCCAAGCCGACTAAACCTGATCCACACGGAAGTACCAGGAGGAAATGGAAGGGAATAGTAGTGAGCAACTCCCTGTAACTGGGAAGAGGATTACTCCCATTTTCTGACCTCATCTGTTGTCTAGGGAGTTTTGCTGCCTTTCAGGGGCTCTGATTTGGGACATTGTGGAAGGACTGCCGAGGCTTGTCTGGCACTCAGACTATCACCCCTCGATGCTTTTCTACATAACCTCCTGTCATGCTGCCAGGGGTAGCATGGAGCACATGAAGCATGACTACATGGGTCTGGGGATGGTGGTTAAGGGCAGGAGGCCCTAAATATTCCTTCTTGATCCTTACAGTGAAGGTGGAGGACCTGAGGAGGAGTGGACAGATCCTACAAGTGGTTGCACAACTGGTGTCAGCAACACGGGTTTGGTGTTTATAACTGTGGGGGACACTTTAAGGATTGATGATAGCCTGCTGTAAAGAGAAAGGTTCCACCTGACTAGGGGGGACAAAAGACTGGCCTTATTGGTGAGGAGACTTTTGAGATAGAAGTATCAAGGTAGGGAGAGGACGACCACAAATTATATGAGGAAGTAGTCAACCAGGTTAGCAGGCAAAATTAGGTCTGTAGACATCATAATCAACAAAACAGAGCTGAAGGGGCACAATGTAAAGTTTGTCCATATAAAGTATTCAGTCTGGGGAAGAGAAGCCTCAGGGGGAATCTTAGTGTTTAGTGTGTATTGGCTGATGAGAAGGAGTAAAGGAGATGGAGACGGACACTTCTAAGTTTTGTCCCGTGACAGGACACAAGGCCATGGGCACAAACTGAAATACAGGATATGCCACTTTTTACTGTGATGATGGTCAACCACTGGAACAGGGTTGTTGTGTACAGTTCTACATTCTCATTCTACATTGATTTCTTAATGAAGGAGTCACGTTTGTTTTCAGTTTTAAAGACCTGGAAATTGGAATGAAGAAAATAGTCAAATTGCTGCTTAAGTTAACAACCATTAAGTAAACATTCCACTCGCCAGAGAGGCTGTGGAATCTCCATCCTTGGTGATAATGAATCATAGAATATGCTGAGTTGGAAGGGACCCATCAGGATCGAGTCCAACTCCTGGCCCTGCACAGGACACCCCAAGAGTCACACCATGTGCCTGAGAGTATTGTCCAAATGCATCTTGAACGCATCAGGCTTGGTGTTGTGACCACTTCTCTGAGGATCCTGTTCCAGTGCTCAACCACCCTCTGGATGAAAATCCTTTTCCTGATATTTAACTAAACCTCCCCTGACTCAGCTTCATGTCATTTCCTTGAGTCCTGTCAGTGGTCGCAAGAAAGTGATCAGTGCCTGCCCCTCTGCTTTCCCTTGTAAAGATGTTGAAGATTATAATGAGGTCTCCCATCAGTCTCCTCTTCTCTAGACTGAACAAAAGCCAGGTCTGGGCAACCTGCTATAGCTCTGAGCACTAGGCAGTCTCCAGAGGTTCATTCCAACACCAGCCTTTTTTAAGTTCTAGGGTAGGAGTCCTTTTGGCTCATTTTTCAGAGCTACCACAGTCTTTGTGGCGAAAGAACAAAAATGGCAGATATACATTGGAAATGAAAAAGATACTTTAAATCTGCTTCAAATCAGTGTGATCCTATGTTGAAATTACACAAGCAAACTTCTCTTTTTATGTAGCTCTTCTGAACTAATACAGAATGTCTTGACATTTTCATCTATATTAGCTTAATTTGAAAACATACATTTTAATTCTTGCCATTTGAAAGCACCCTTGTAATGAATACTGTCCTAAAACTGCTTCTGCAGTCTTTTTCAGCATGATTTAATAACAGCTTAACAGTAATCAAATTAATTAAACTCTCATAAACCTGCCATTAAATTAAAAAAAAAAACCCACACACTCAGATGCTAACTATAAGTTTGTGTGAAAGACTCTATAAAATAGAGTCTTCGCTGAACGAGTTGTCAAATGTTACACAAATTTTAAAAACCCTTCCTCAATGTGGAAGAGTGGCCCACTACAGACTGTTGTCAGTGGCTGGGCCGTGAGAGTTAATTCAACCAATCTCTGTCCTGGTGTCCATTCTTTTCCCACATAGTCTTCTACCATGACAGGGTGTAGATTAGGACCTATATAAGCACTATATAATCCCTCATTGTCACATAAGGGAATCAGTTGGAAATTAGTGTCCAGTGGAACTCAGGCATTGCCCATAACATACTACTTGTCAGAGAAGTACAAAAGTATCAGAATGCAATGGGATCACATGTTTCATTGTATCCAAATGGCTTTCTCATGAGGAGAGGGAGAGGAATCAGTGCTATATTTTTGTTGTGAGATGGTCACATTTTTTCCTTGTTTCAGAAAAACTCTTTAGCAGCTCTATGAAAGGAGGCCCACACAAATAAAAATTCAGCAGCAACTGCTTCAAAATTGTTTGCTGAATGTATGAACATAAGCTGTCATGTGTTTTGTGTCTTTTGTTGTGTTTGTAAATTGTAACTAATTACTTTCATAAAGTTGCATAATGCTGCAAGAAAATTGCAAAAGTAGTTTTGAAAATTAATGAGTTGTTGCACTTTTAACTAAACCATTATAGAAGCATAGAAAATATCCTGAATTGGAATGGACCCACTAGGATCATCAAAGTCCAACTCCTGGCCCTGTACAGGACAGCCCCAAGAATCACACCATGGTACCTCATTAGGTGTCTCAGCTTTAATAAAAGAACGATTTTTTTGCACAAAGGAAAATCAGTGAAACGGAAATATTGGATCATTCTTTTCTGTATTTTCAGCAATTAAAAGTTTGTGTAAAAAGCAGTGAAAGACTAATATCTCAAAGAATAGGCAGAGAGACTTGAAGGAGGAGGCAGAATAGATACATCAAAAGGCTAATGGAGTTTTCTAAAACCCACCACCACCACTAACACTGAGTTTTGAATCAAATGCAGAACTAGTGGAGGTATATGACTTTACTTTCATTATATTTGTTACATTTCTTTGGGGGCAGTTTTCAGAAAATACTGGAGTTTGAAAAAGCTTGAGTTTAAGAAGGTAAAGCTCTGGAACAGCTTAGGCGAGACTATGAAGTCTTACATTGTAGTAAGAAAGCAACACTTACAGAACTGAAAGGGAAACTGATCAAAGTCTCAAAATACATCTGATTTAATATTGGCAACATAATATAGTATTTAATATTAAAGATTAGAATCTATCTTCAATTTTTTATGATTAGGAAAATCACTAAGTATTTCAGTAGTTCTTCATCTTAGTTCTCGAGCAGGTCATGAAGATATTTTAAAGGCTGATTTGGGTTATATATGTAATGGATTTTAAGGGAATGTAATAAGATATTAAATGTATAAGCTGATATTGGCATTCATGTTTAATTTTCCTATAAAAATGACAGATGGGTTGTTTTATCAAATTCTCCGGGGAAAGCATTGGAAAAAGTGATGAAATGAATATATGATTTATAGGAGACTGTTATGTAAAGGACAGTATTGAGGAACTTAGAGGCCTTCTCTTCAGTAAATTTGTTGTGAATTAAGAGAGTATATGTGAAAGATTGAGCAAAGCTTGCAAGTTGCAATGTCTTTGTTCTTTATTTTACGCAATTAAATACCTCAGTAAGAAACTATCAACTGGTTTATGCAAGTTTTACATTACAATTTACATATACTCAGCAAACTATGGTCTCAGAAAAACTGAAGTGAAACTGGTACTCTGATTTTAGAATGCATGCAAAATAAAAACACAAAGCATAACAATTCTAAATACTGTATGCTTCTTATAGTTTGAACAGTAAGTAATTTGTGGTATACCTTTTTAACAATGTGGGAAGGAAGACTTTATCCTTCATTTCTTTGTCAGTCATAAACCAAAGTACTCATCTTTCACTTAGCTTTTATCATATTTTATCTTGGTAGTTTAGTGCAGTATGAGCTTGAAATGAAAAATATGAAAGTTCTGACAAACGTACAGTGCCTGGGAAAGATAATAGAGGTAGATATCCTGTGCGTTCTGGAAAGCAGGACGCCATGTGATAATTCAGAAGTTTATTTAATCTGAAAAATAGTCAAAACTACTTGTTATTTTAAGAAGAGATATTTCAGAGAAAGTAAAATCAAATTTTACCTGTAATAAACTACTACAAATTGAAATAGCAAAAAATTTTTTCCTCAAAGATGAGGGATTTCTTTTTGCATTTGTGCCATGTAGAATTTTCCAATAAAGTTTTTAATTCTGTAACTGGAATTGATTGCAACCACTTGCCACATGTCAGGTTGGCAGTTTCTGAACACATACTAAAATATATTTATGTAATAAGCTGCATATGAATTAAGATTTGCAAAATAATACCATCTCTTGAAATTATTGAATAAATTTGGGGTTTCATTGGCTGTAATGGAAGGGGGAAGTAAGTAGTGAAAATGGCAATGTAAGAGCAACACTACCTCAGAGTCTGTTACCCAAGATTTACACGTAATATTATACTTATTTTGTATTTATTATTCTATTTAATTTGCTTCCATGTTGAACTAGTCTTACCAAAGCAAGAACTGTATCTGACAGCATAGTTTATAGTACCCAATAAAATCTGGTTATGCTGAGTACAGCACTGCTTTTTATATTGACACATTAACACAAATACTAAAAGCAGTGATTTAGCTAATAAGTAAAGATTTTTCAGAAATTCAAGTACTTTTGAAGGAACTGGGTAGACAGAGTTGTCTCAGAAAAGTGATGTCTTTATTGAACATTTCAGAGACACTACTGAAAGTATCACTATAGTTTTAATCCAGTGTCAGAAAAAGGATGATATTCAGTATTAATTCAAAGTTAGCAAGGTCATATGAAGTAATACAAATGAAACAAACAATATGTTGTATAACGCTATAGTTTCCCTGAGTTTATTAACTGGATATCACATATTCTTTTTTAGAATTCTAACCTGATCCATCAGAAGGTGTCTCCTCCTGCAGAGCAACAAGGATCTCCAGTCTTATCCTTCATTACTCTGGAACAATTCAGTGCAATTCGCCTTGTGCAAAGTGTCCATCAGTCTCTTGCTTCTTTAAGTAAAGTCATCAGAGGTACCTCATTACTGAGTTCTGAAGTACAAAGACTGGCAAGTGCTCTGTTAAACCAGAAGGTAATTTTGTAATTTTGTATACGTTATAATGCGCGATGAAAAAAAATTCTGATACGCATTTTCATGTCACCATTTGTTCTAAGCTCTTTTATTGATAAAGACTCTAAAATTGAGTTCTTTTATTGATAGTAAGTCTTGAACAGAATCAGGATTTTTGTGGAAAATTTTTCAAAAAAGTGTTGCTTCACATACTTGCAGAAGTTTCTGAATATATTGTCCTTTTATCAAGTTTTCTCTTAAAGACAATTCCAATAAGGTTAGAAGTTGTGGAATGCTATTTCAATTTCAAATACCAAGTCATGTTTGATAAGTCAAATATATTAGCCAGTAGAACATGTAAATCTGTCCCTTTACTTAGTTTTTTACATTTTCTTAAAATATAAGTTATAACCACAATTCGCTCTCTGCATTCAGTGTGGAGTATTGCCATATCACACCAGACAAGCTGTACCTATCATACCAACCTATCATCTCACTCTATATTCTTGATAAGATGAGAAAAGCAATCGGAATTTGCACATGTACTCTCTCCATCTTTTTTGGCATCAAACTGGGCATACTTATAAACTGGTACAATTAGTGACTGCAAATTTACATACTCCATCATTAATAGCCAGATAATTGGATTACAAAAATAGTCAAACATGGATTTGACCTGAAACTCTGGTTTTGTTTCACCTGAAGCAATTGATAAATTCTGCCGACACTAATGCATAGATATTGAGATTTGTTCTGCAGTGAATGGTAATTCCTATTTATATCTTGTTTATCTTCATTGGAAGAACAAATAGTGTTAAAAAGATTCTTATGCATTTATTATTCTATCAAAACAATTATTAATTTGTTGTCTTTTTAGTTTCACAAGACTGCATTTGTTAGCAAAATTGCAGTAAAATTAGAATAAATTAATGTTTTCATGTTAGCAATCTCATTTCCTTTTTAAACATGTTTTGACTGTGTGGTAGAAATTGGTACTATGTACAAGTCATAGCAAATGTAAATGATACATGTAATGGTCATTCTTTAGTACTTACAGTTATATTTCTTGTTACTGAGCAAGAGAGAATGACTTGCTTGTGTGCTTAAGATGCACTCAAATTGGAAGCAGCAGGAGCTATGAAACTGATCACTGTCACAAAAATGTAGTTAAAAATTCTATGCATTTTTACCTCTTACAAACATCAGTTCAGTGCTTCACGATGTATTCAGCGAAGTGTTTCTGTCATTTCATCTGCTTACTTACCCACTTACCTTGACACAGATCACTTGACTGGATTGTGACTGTATAGCAATCTTTTCAGCAGCCTTCCAGAGAGGCTAATGACACATTCTTGGCATGGCAGCTAAACCTCAAGACAGCTAAACCTCACTATATTTATCATCCTAAAATGATTTGTTTCATGGATCTTCTATACACTGTTCTTATTTAGTTTAGTGTTTTCATGTGTTATGTAACAAAACTATTTTTAAAAAAAAAACAACTTGTATTTTAAAAGCACCAAGATTGTAGTTCTTTTAAGATTATAGCACCTGAAGAAACTGCTAGATTAATAGAAATGAAAAATGAGGAAATGTACTACTTCTAAGTTTTCAGCAATGTGCTTTATTTGTGTAAAATTGATATATTAGCCCCATAGAAGCCACTGTGAAGAAAATTAACTTTACCGCAGCCAAAATGAGCAGAAGTATACATCTGAAATATGCTTACATAATAACAATTAGCTAAGCTATTTCTTTAAACTTAGAGTAATTTAGAGTGATATATTAGCAATGTTAGGTGAATACCTGCTAAATGATAGATTGGTGAGCTGTCTGTAAATGCATATCTAGCAAAGAGGTCTGCAAAAATGCAAGGTTAAGAGTTTAAAATAAAAAAAAAAGTTTAAAAAAACCATAATTATGAAAAAAAATGTGCAGTTAACTGTGCTTTATTAGTTGACTTGAATGTGTTCTAATTCATTCGATTCATTCTTAATTAGTGTCCCCAGACCTAGTTATGTTCTAGTTTTTATCTATGAAAGGTACACATGGAGTATTTACTTTGAAAGATACCTTCTCTTACAAACTTACGTAATCAGATTTTGAAAATCTGTTTAGTGTATATGCTGTGAAAACGTGAACCTCCTTGAAAATGCAGCGGTAAATATTAAAAGGATAAACTGTTTATTCTATTCAGCATCTTCAATATTGTGCAGTATTCCACAGGTAATGATTTACATCAGTTCTCTTTCAATTAAGTAGGAGAATCTTGTAGAATCACTTTCCCTGTGCTTTACAGGTTCCTGTGGAGTAGGTAAAATTAATGTTTTTACATTTGTTTTATAAGGAGGAAATCTAACAGAGGACCTTCTAAGCCTTTCATTTTGAAGTCGGTGAGAAATTTGTATGGGGAGGTCTTGTAGGATTTTATTCTCAGGTTTTGCTCTACAAAAACTGTAAAGTGATAAGAAAATAATGATGCAGAGGAATTGTACCAGCTTCTCTTCACCACCACATAGCCACACAACTGCCTGTTCAAGTCTGAGGAGGCAGCAGCAAAGGAGTGGGAAGCTGTGGCTGCTCTTGAAAGATGACATTATGGCTTTTCAGGAAATAATCTGCTTAGGCCTTTTTGAATTGTTAATGGAAAAAACTGATGTTTCCTTATTGAATACCAGAGGTTCTTGAAGGTTCCCCATCAGCACTGTATCTGTGTGGGCCACAAGAAGAATTAGCAGGAACATGACCTTTCTATTAGTGGTTGTATATTTTGGTCAGTTTGTTACTTGTATTTCCTTTTTTCTTTGTAGGTATATTTGATCTCCAGATTGTTTAATTTCATTCAAATTGCTAGTTTAAAACATAATGGATTTGAAATGGATACTTTCAGTAAATATATTTTTATTTCAGTGTCCTATCACATGGCAAAGCAAGTGGGAAGGTCCAGAAGATCCTTTACAATATCTTAGAAGTCTTGTTGCTCGAGCGCTTGCTATACAGGTAATTTTAAAGAGTCATTTATTTACCATAGTATACTGGTATTCAGTGACACAGTATATCATATAAATTACTCTACAGTAGACCTTTACAAATACCAATCCCAAAGAGTTGTAGATGTGTGAAAAGGCATGTAAAAATTTAAAGGAGTAATATGGTAATATTGTTGGTTGCTTCACAGTTGATTTACACCTTAGATTTTAGTCACTAGTCTTTATGATGAACTAGGGGGGAAAGAAAATTTATGCAGATGAAACCTTACATCTAAGTCAACACACACTCTTTCATCTGGTAGAGAGATGCCTATCAAGGCATAAATGAAGCATTTCTAATAGAGGTAATGTAGGCAACTAGTCTTTAAAGCAAATAATAAAAACATCTGCATTCTCCAGGTTTACAAGAGGCTATAATAGAAGGTGCAGTATGACAACAGCTTTGTCAGTTTACAGTCTGACAGTGAAGAAGATAATTTTTAGTTAAGGTAGATCTATGTGTACTTTGATTGACAGAAGCAGTGTAAAAAAAAGTCATTCATCTAAATTAACTAGTATTTAAGGAAATAGATTTCATCATGTTGCATACAGAGAGAGAAAACTGTGAGAACCTTCCAGAGAGGTAGGAAGGACAGATCTTTATTATCTCCGGGCAATAAATAGAAAGCTTACGGTTTTGACTTTGATTAACACAGTCTTGTCCAGCAGAATACAAAGATTTCTGTCAACATTGGTGTTGACTGTCAGATTCAGAAGGAAGATTTGAAGGGCACATGATTTCTAGGCATTACTTTTTCTAAAGAAACTATCAGATGGATGTTTTCAAAGTATTAATAGCATTCTTGTTATGCAAACAGTTTCTTTTGGCTAATGCTTAGTTTTTGTTTGTCCTTTCCTTCAAAAAAGGCTTAAAGTATAAACAAAGAAAGCGTAAATATGTAAAGCAACAAGTGATAATGCATGTTCAGATGTTATTTGGTCATATAACTAGGGCTGAACTTAGTCCCATTTGACTATTATTGTCTTTAGTATTAAAAAAACATCATTTGGGGCTGAGTCAGTGTGTTTGTAAGCTTCAAGAGTACCTTGCTGTTTGCAGCTTGCACTTTCATTTGGTTGTGACCAAACTGCATGCAACTTTCCTTACTTACATGGGTTTTTCTTAATTGAAGTCTGAGATTACTGTTCAAGCTTCTGTGTGGACTGCACCTCCCATACAAAGTTGAGATAATGTGACAGAGTGTAACAGAATGAAATCAGTGTTAATAGTAATAAATGATTTTCAACGACACATATTCAGAAAGTTTTTATTTTCATATATTACTTTAGTCAACTATTGACAAATATGCTGCCTTATATTACCATGATAGTAATCTTCCTTTCTCGCTGTTTAAACTGATGACGAAATGTCACATTTGGATTACTCATTTTTATGAAATTTATTATGAAGAAATCATTTACAATTTTAAACAGCTATTTTTTGTAAGAGAGGGAAAGATTATTAAGGCAGAGCTTTACAGCAGATACTTAACATACGTAGTTGTATCCAGAAGCAGTAAATTACATTAAATTTTTTGTTAGTGACAACAGTTGCTGGTTATTTATTTATTTTTTTTTTATGTGAGATATGTAATATGGTTGTGTTTGAAGCAATTCTTAATAATACATTACCAGTCTGTTTTGCATCTCAAGCTTCTAGTCAAATCATGTCTGAAATGCAATTTCTACACTTTTTTTGTGTATAGTACTAGAAAAGTGTTGATTTTTTTCTAATTATGCATTTCAGTTGAATCATCTTTTTCCTTAAATATGATTCCAATTCATAGTTGTGCATATTACAGCAAGATTTTGATTACTTGTGATAAGTTTTTAATTAACTTTTCTTTTTTGTGACTTTTTGTTATTGATTTTATAAATGTAGTTTATCATTAGTTAATTCTAGGTTTAGTATTCAGAAATTCAATAAAGGCTTCAATAAAGGTATTCTCACAACTCTGAAAATTATCTTCAGATTTATATTTTAATAAATGCTATATTTTGGATTGGTTTAGTTTTATATGACCAACTCCATCGTCTTTTTTTTTGATAGTTACCCTTATCTCCCTCAGTTTCATCAACTATGAGACTTGTACTTTCACTGTTTGAGACAGATTTGATTTAGGTATTTTTTAAGAGGAAATAGGAGACATTGAAACATCGAATTTGTACTGAAGGATTACATTTACTAAGGATGAAGTAAGTCTCTACCTAGGTTATTAGTTAAAGGCTGCCTTGTCAAGAGGTTTGCTGCCAGTGTAGAAAATAATAAAAACAACTGCATTGTTACAAGCATTTATTGGGAATGGAGAGGAACACAAAATATAGGCCAGATGGTAAAATATTTATAGCAGAATTTATAGAAGTGTAAAGATGTTCTGAGAGCATTACACAACAACAGACAGAAAAACAACAGTTGTTGCATTTCTCAGGTCTGAATTCTCTCAGTAAAAAGCAAAATTAAAAAAAACCTGCCTACTGAAAGTGTGAGGAAATATGTATATGCAAAATGCAGTAGAGACTTGTATTGCTGTGTATTATGTTGTTGTGATAGAACTGATGGAAATAGATGATTTCTTCCCAGATTGAAGTTCTGATATTTGGATGTTAACTTTTGCTTTAAATTGCAACAAAAATGGTGTATTGAACATTCTTCTAAGATGGAGTTCTGAATACTTTCAGTTAGCAATGCTGACTTTGAACTTTACAATAGCATGATTTAACCTGTCTCTCCACAGTGATATATTTGCTATCAACATTAAGGCATGAAAGATATGAATCATCATAGATCATTGTATTGGTTTTAAGTCTTGGTCCTTATACTGCCAGTTTCCTCGTGATGGCATCTTAAATGTGTTCTGTGGCTTTCCTCTCGGTTCATGATTATAGCTCAGGAATAGTACACATTAGCATATAATGCTCTTAAGTGAATTCCAGTCTGTAGATAAGTGTCTTCTCATGGCTATGGATACCAGCAGGAGAGAAAGAGAAGAGACCCTGGACTATAGCTAGTAAGAGCCAAAACACCAGCCCAGGCAAATGTCAGATAACTATCAACCTTAAAAAATGTTTCAGGTCAACAAATTGGAATTTAATTTTTGTTTCCACAACAACTAAATGTAGAGCTTAATTTCACCTTTAAAAAAACCCCAAAACCAAACAAAAAAACCCTCACACTCTTCTTATTCCAAAAATACCTTCTATTTTAAATTGAAACATTTATTTATTCTTTTGAACTAAGCTGGTTTTATGTCATCTGCAGAAACAGTTCTTCCTTTGGATGACTGTTTGATCAGAGAGAGCCGCTAAAAGGCTTACAGTGTACATTGAAAATGAACACTGTTGGACCTCAGAATCATAAACACCTATTTCAATGTTCTATCCAAGGAAATGTTTATGAACACAAAAAGTTTTTATTTGCCTAATTTATGAAAGGTTTTGTTGAAAATGTGCATTTATCTATAAAATATTCCTAGTATATAAAAAAAATTATATTTCATACTTCTTCAAGAGACTCATATTTATCTCACTGGGATGCTGCTCTCTTGTCCCCTCTTATTCTGAGTGAAATCTAGGGTAATAATATAATGTCAATGCCAGTTCGATGCCTTAGTAAAAGAGTTTTGCTATTTTATTGCTCTTTTAGTATTTGAGGAAAAATTACTTTGTTTGTGTTTTGGAACCCTTACTCTACCTCTGTTTCAACAGTTAGGTCCGCAGAGAGATAGATAGGACACCCAAGGTATGTGAGATTTAAACTCCTGGAAATTGCCTGCTGAAGACACTAGAAAACTTTCTGGGAATAGGAGACACAGGATCCTTCCTTCACACCCCAGGCATCTAGGCAAAAATATTAAATTTTCTTTCACTCATAGCAGTCAGAAAATCTGGTATTAGAAAGCCAAGGAAGCCAAGTCCTCTCAATTTTCACCAAGTTAAAGAACTCCCATAATAAATCTTGTACAAACTCAAAATTTTCATGCTAAGTCCCCGTATCCATCCACTTGTGCACTCCATAATAACACCTATTCCCCCTTTAAGTAATCACACTTACTTTTGCATAGCATGTCAGTTTTTTCTAATACATTGCCTTAGCAGATTTTGCAGCAGGGACAATAGCTTAATGGTTTGCCTTTTACAGTTTTAGGAGTATCTGATTTAGATGAATTAGGTTGGCTGGTTCCTCACCTTGTCTTTGTTCCTCTCATGACTCTCTCTATTTGAACAGCTGTTACCTAGGTATCTGTGCAGTGCAGAATGCTCCAGATTTAGCATACTGATATTAATGCACAAGAATTCATTGAAGTAATGTTTTAAATCTATGCATTCTGTTATTTTAATTCAAATTTACACCTTATTCTGAAGAATTAGCATTTTTCTGCTACTTTTTTTGGCTTCTCCTCTTCAGCTGTCATGAATATCAAAACAAAAATACAACTGCAGTCTAACATTATCTGCTAAGGAACTGATCCTTAATTGACTCCCTTAACTCTCATCATGTTGCAGCATGATTTCATTTTGTTCAGAATTTATCAGCCAGGATACATTTTTCAAGACCTTTTATCTCAGTGATAACTGCTTGGTAAAAATTGGAAATTTGCTAGTACGACTATAAAATATGTTTTGTTTGTCTCTCATGTAATAGGAAAATTTGAAGCTCTTACAGATCCAGCTGTTGTATTGTGTCCCTTTTTAATCACTGTCTCAGTTAGATGGTATTGATGAAGTAATGGCTGAGTGTTTTGTAAAGACACCATCCAAACAGGGTGCCACACAGAATGTAAGATCGAAGTATCAGACTTGTACAGGTCATAGGAGCTGTCCATTGAAATAAGATATCATTTCCAAGGAAGCTTAAGCAGAGCTGAAGCACTTTTTGCGCACAGATAGTTCACATACTCTTGTGACTTACAGAAAGCTGTATTCCAGCACAGGTACCTGAGTTGTAAGGATTGCTGAAGTTTTCTTTTTATG